AGGTGTCAGTGGCTGGGAGTTCCAGAATGTCACATTGCTGAAGCCAAGGTCAGTATAGTTGTGCTTTAATTCCCCAGAAACTAGCTACCATACCAGGGGGCTCCATCTAATGCAAGCATGGAATCCCACCCTTTGCTGCCAAAATGTGGTACCTGTAATTTTAGGAATTTCTTGTGTTTCGCACCATACACACTGAACAACAAGTGCCATAATGCAGATATTCTGCATTCTGGGCGTGCATTCCTGAATCCACAGGGCCCTAAACATACATATTCAGTACAGGGTTCTAACCCATCTGGCCACAGCATATTACCCCGACACCCAACAGGCAGCAGGACTGGACACTACTGTCTCCCAGGCACATTAAAATGCCAGGATTTGACCCAGGAGCTAGCCTAGTGTGCAAGGGGCCTAACACTACAAGTATGGTCAAATAGGTTTGCAAATTTGCAAAGTAAAAAATAATGAAGCATTTCATTTGGCACTGAACAGGGTTCCGGCTGAACACTAATCACTGGATTGTTCAGAGCCTCCTATTCATAGAATAGCTTGCATTCTTATCAATTAATGCAAGTTTGCCGAGATTGTGAAATTTATCTACACCTCCAATCTTCTCTAATCACAGAATGAGGAGAGAATTCATAAGACATTCATCAGGCATTCTCATTAAAGAAAAATGATTCTAAATATATTCGGATTAGATGTGCAAAATGCTCAGTTCCCCTTTAATTTCTGCCCACATAATGATCACATGACAGGACAATTCTCCAACAGGGACTAAAAAAAAAGCCAGACAAAAAGGTTCACCCCTTCCCCCACCAGAGAAAATTGATTTTAACCTAGTGCTCACTGAAAGAAAGCCCATGACTACAGCGGGCTATTAGATTACACAGACATATGGTAGTTTATTATCCAAGTGTGCAAAACGTAGTAGAAGAGGTCTCCTCCCAAAAACAATGGAGCTGTCCCTACACTAAAAAAAGTCCAACGTATCTGGTAGAAGCAGCCTATTGTATGTCATTGCTGAGGTTTGTAGGCTTTGTACCCTTATTTGAGTCCTATACAGGACAAAAGGCACATGGACACTAGAAACGTGTGCTGTATGTCATCTGTAAATAGAGTACAAGATGTCAGGCCCTACAGATTGTGTCCTGCCAGGAACAGAAGCAATCTACTGCATACAACTGCTCACGTCTGCAATGCAGATTTGCAGGCATTGCGCCCACATCTGTGCGCTGCACAAAGCAGGCAGCTAGCAGAGGCAATCTACTGCCACTGTAAATGGTCATTAGTGAAGTCTAGAGCACAGGATGCCAGGCCCTGCACAGTTCAGCTGGCCAGTGGGCAGAAGTGCACTATGCCATTTGTGAGATCTGGATGCCAGCAGTGCTGGCATTACACCCAGATCTGTGTCCTGTACAGTTAGATCCCAGGGACTGCACCCCAATCTGTTCCTGTAGGTAAGATCCCAGGGACTGCACCCCAATCTGTTCCTGTAGGTAAGATCCCAGGGACTGCACCCCAATCTGTTCCTGTAGGTAAGATCCCAGGGACTGCACCCCAATCTGTTCCTGTAGGCAAGATTTAAGGTAAAGCACCCCCAATCTGTTCCTGCAGGCAAGATCCCAGGGACTGCACACCAATCTGTTCCTGTAGGCAAGATCCCAGGGACTGCACACCAATCTGTTCCTGTAGGCAAGATCCCAGGGACTGCACACCAATCTGTTCCTGTAGGCAAGATCCCAGGGACTGCACACCAATCTGTTCCTGTAGGCAAGATCCCAGGGACTGCACCCCAATCTGTTCCTGTAGGCAAGATCCCAGGTACTGCACCCCAATCTGTTCCTGCAGGCAAGATCCCAGGGACTGCACCCAATCTGTTCCTGTAGGCAAGATCCCAGGGACTGCACACCAATCTGTTCCTGTAGGCAACATCTAAGGTAAAGCACCCCCAATCTGTTCCTGTAGGCAAGATCCCAGGGACTGCACCCAATCTGTTCCTGTAAGCAAGATCTAAGGTAAAGCACCCCCAATCTGTCCTGCCAGGAACAGCAGTAGCAGTCCATTACATGCCACTTAATCTGCAGCACAGTCTTCGGGGCACTGCACATAAACAGGCAGTCAGCAGAAGCAAGCTACTGTAAGCATGTCTTCAGTGACATCTGCAGCACAGGACCCCAGGCCCTGAACCTGATCTGCATCTGATAGTCAGGCTGTCAGCATCTACAATATTACAATCTGTCATACGTTCTGCACCCAGACCTCAGTCCTGCCCAGTCCAGCTGGTCGATGGGCAGCAGAGGTGTTCTGGTGCTGGTAAAGTCCAAATGATAGAATCCAAGGCTCTGCATCCAGATCCGGCACATGGGCTGCAGAACATAGGTGCTGCATGCCATTAGAGAAATGGAGAATACAGGATCTCAGGCACGGTTTCCAGGCCAGTGTTCTGCCAGGAACAGGGAAGCAATGTCCTGCATGCCCTTGGTGAAATCTGCAGAATGCCCTGCACCCAGGTCTGGGTCCTGTACAGTCTAGCAGGCATCTCGGTGGCATAAGTGTGCTGCATGGCATTCATAAAATCTGGAGGCCAGGCACTGCACCTGATCTGTGTCCTGTACAGAACAGAAGACATCTATTGCATTCATTTGGTGAAATCTGCAACAAACTGCACCCAGATCTGAGCCCTGTGCAGTCCAGCTGGCAGATGTGTACTGCAGAATACAGGACCTCAGGTACAGACGTCTGCAGTACAGTTTTCCAGGCATTGCACCCGGATCCATGTGCTGCAGTCACAGGCAGCCAGCAGACGCAAGCTACTGTAAGCATGTCTTTACTGAACTCTGCAGCACAGGATCCCAGGCCCTGAACCTGATCTGCAGGTCAGTCACACGGTCAGCATTTACAGTGACAGTAGTGATACCTGCAACAGGCCCCGCACACAGATCTGTGTATTCCAGTTCAGATGGGCAGCAGAAGGGTGGTGGCATGACATTCGTGAAATATAGAAAGTAGAATCCCAGGAAATGCACCCTGATCTGCTTCGGAGTTCATGGCAGGACACAGGTCAGGATGCAGGGCCTAGTAGCCTATATTTTATTAATGCCATGCACCACCCTTCTGCTGCCCATCTTCCAGCTGGACAGTACAGGTCACAGATGGGGTGCCAGGCCTGTGGCCCAGTATTTCAATAATGGATTGCAGCACACATTTGCTGTGCATGTACCAAGTGTTCTGTACAAAATGCGGATCTGGGTTCAGTGAAGGTTTTAGATTCACAATGGCATGCAATAGATTGCTTCTCAGTCCCTGGCAGGACACAGATTAGGGCAGAGGGCCTGGCATTCTGTGTTTTCACCATGCAGCACCATTCTGCAGCCCATATGTCAGCTAGAAAGGACAGATGGGAATACCTGGGATCTGCATTTCACTACTGGCATGAATCACCCATCCACCAGGTGCGGGGTACAGGGCACAGATCTGCATGCAATATCTGTGGTGCATTTCACCAATTACATGCAATAGATGGCTTTCCTGTTCCTGGCAGGACAATCTAAAGCATGACGAAATCTACAACAGACACGGCACCCAGACCTGTGCCCTGTACAGAGCACCCGGCAGATGGGAAGCAGAAGTGTGCTGCATGCTACTAGTGAAATACTGAAGGCAGAATCCCAAGTAATGCACCCTGACCTATGAATCTCCATTCATGGCAGGACACAGATTGGGGGGCCTACCATCCTGTATGTCACTAATGCCATGCAGCGCCCACTGCGCCCACTGCTGCTCATCTGCCAGCTGGACTGTACAGGTCACAGATGTGGGTGCAAGGATTTGTGTCCTGTATTCTGCATTTCTGGTTGCAGGGCCTGGGATCCTGAGTTCACTAATGCCATGCACCACCTGTCTGCTGCCTATCTGCCACCTGGACAAGACAGATTGGGTGCAATGCCTGACAATCTGCATTTCATCAATGGCCGCAGCACCCCTTCTGCTCTCTACAGGGCACAGATCGGGTGCAGTGACTTTCCACAGATTTCACCAAGTGCATGCAATAGAATGCCTGTGTTCCTGGCAGGACAATGTACTGCATGCAAAAGGTGAAATCTACAGATATTGTACCTAGAGGTGTGTGTACCCAGCACCTGGCCAGCAGAAGGGGTGCTGCATGCCATTGGTGAAATACAGGATCCCAGGTAATACACCAAATCAATGCCCTGACGGCAGCAGAAAGGTGCTGCATGATGGAATACAGTATGCCAGGCCCGCCACCCTGATCTGTATCCTACAGGGGAACTGTGAAGCAACCTTGTGCCTGCTACTAGGGAAGTCTACAACCAGCCCTGCCCAGACCTGAGCCCTGTACACAGCACCTGGCAGATTGACAGAAGGGTGGAGCATGGCATTAGTGGGACCACAGGTGCCCCCCAGCTCTCAGGGACACGGAACCCCAGGCGCCCCCCACTTCCCAGATCTCAGGGACGCGGAACCCCAGGCGCCCCCCGCTTCCCAGATCTCAGGGACGCGGAACCCCAGGCGCCCCCCGCTTCCCAGATCTCAGGGACGCGGAACCCCAGGCGCCCCCCGCTTCCCAGATCTCAGGGACGCGGAACCCCAGGCGCCCCCCGCTTCCCAGATCTGTACAATGCACTGTGAGGCAGGCAGAAGCGCAGCAGCAGTGATGTCCTGCATGCCCTCAGTGAAGCTGTCCCGGTACACAGGCGGATGCTGCAGCTGTCTCTGATCTAACATTGGCAGCGCGTGGTCCTCTAATAATAACTCCCCTCCTCCTCCTCCTGTGGGCGGAGTTCCGACCCCCGCACTGCCCTTATCTCCCACCCTCCCCCTCTTTCGGAGCTGTGGAGGTCAAACCGATGGAGATGATAGGAGATGACCTCCCCGGGCGGGAGGACGGGGACGGAGGGAGGATGGAGATATGCAGACCACACGGGGCCCGCAGTAGCGTGTACCGGGGATGGGGGGGTTCTCCGGCGGATACTCACAGTTCCTCTGCTGCTGGCACAGGGCCGGGCTCAGGGCTCCCGGGTTCTTCCCGAAGGCGGCCGCGGAGGAGCGGCAGACGGAGGTGACAGCTCGGAGGTAGCCGGCCATGTTTTCCTCAGGTCGGGGGAGAAGAAGACGGAGGAGACTGGAAGGGGGGCCCCGGGTTAATCAACGCGCACACGTCCGACACTTCACCCCCGCACAGCCGCCCGGCTTCAAGGGCGCACACGTCAGCATCGCGGCAATTTATAGCAGCGGTGACGTCACGTTCAGCGGCGACTATTAGGAAGAGGCGGGACCAAGAGGGGAGCCGGGGGCGCGCCTGATCTACTTTTCATTCATTCATTTCCCCCGCGCCGAGTGTGGGGGCGCGCTCCGCTTATGGGAGCGGGGCGCGCGAGGTGACTCGTGCACTGCCGGCGCTGTGCACGTTCAATCACACACTGCACACTGATGAGGAATGAAGTCCTGATAATAAATATCATTTATTGATGAATAAAGTTCAGTGTTCATCACCCTACACAGCCGACCTTCACCTCACCAATGTGTCCTACCCCCCGGCCTACACTCACCTAGGCCTGACCCTTCCCTGACAGGATGTCCTTACCGAGTCACATTCCACACTGGAGGCACCAGTCATCCCAGAAGCCACATTACTGGTGAAACGGGGTCTTCAGGCCCAGCCCTGTAACCTCTTCCCTGCCGGAGCTCCTTGTACCCCCTCATATCTCCCCTCATCACCATTCATTGTTAATGGCCCCCCAAACACAGCCAGCAGACTTGCATGTTTGCAAAATGGTCAAAATGCACAAAGCTGAACATCCAAAATGGTACAGGAGCTTCTGTGGCGCGTTTGTGGTGCTAAGAGCATTTCATTCAAATGACTAGGCTGCGCAATGCGTGTAGCATGATACACTGCGTGTTCACAAGATGTGGAGTTCAGTGTCCCGCCTGTTCCACATATGTGGTTACATGCAGTTGCAGCATGGTTACGGTGCTCTTTTACAGGCCTTTTCATGCCAAATGTGCTTGGATGCATTCCAGAACGCAATGTTTCTCAGTGGGTGCAATGCGCACTAATGCGTTGCGGTTGCATTCATTTGACAGCAGTAGAGTAGGCTGCAGTTTTCACAACACAATGCACAGTGCGCAAAAAACGCCCGAAGGCGAGAGACGGACGTGATTTCATGGGCTGCCCTTCGCACTAGAAATGCATAAAAGAAGTCCCTGACCCTTCTGCAAAATTGCGGCACACCGAACGGCAAGATGCTGCGGCACCATGTGATTTGGCATGCGTTATTAGATGCACGTGGGTGCCATTAAGAATGAATGGAACTGCCGCACATTTGCTAAAGGGTTGTTTCTGTGCGTGTCAGGAAAGCACGTGATTTGGAACGTGTTCCTGACATGCACAGATGTGAATGTAACCTAAAGCATTATTTGTGTGGTTTGTTTGAGTTTTGCTGAGTTGTATTTACACGTGTTCATGTGCATTCCAGTACATTTACGTGCAAAATAGATGTGGCATGCTATCCTTTTTTTAAAAAAATTTGCATAAAAGCATGGCAATGGTGTCATCTATGTGTGTGTGAGTCACGTCTTTCACACAGTGTCACAACTTGGGAAACACTAGTATGTATTAGGATGGTTTAGATTAGGGTGATCTAAAAGACCCTGTGCCCCCTTATATCAGATGACCCCATCAGAGTCCCCCTTTATATCAGGAGTCCTCATCAGAGTCCCCCTTTATATCAGGTTCACATATGAGTGTGCCCCCTTGCATCAGTGTCCCCATCAAGGTCCCCGCTTACATCACAGTCCCCATCAGAATCCATCTTAGGAGTACCCCTTCACATCTGGGTCCCCATCTGAGCCCACTTACATCCAGGTCCCCATCAGAGCCCTCCTTACTTCCAGGTTCCCATCACAGTGCCCCCTTACATCAGGTGTCCCCATCAGAGTGCCCCCTTACATCAGGGTTCTGACCAGAGTGCCCCCTTACATCACAGTCTCCCCATCAGAGTCCATCTTAGGAGTTCCCCTTCACATCTGGGTCCCCATTTGAGCCCACCTACATCCAGGTCCCCATCAGAGCCCCCCCCCCCCCTTCTAGGTGTCCATCAGAGTCCCCTTTACATCAGGTTCCCATCACAGCACTCCTTGCATCAGGTGTCCCCATCAAAGTGCCCCCTTACATCACAGTCCCCATCAGAGTCCATCTTAGGAGTTCCCCTTCACATCTGGGTCCCCATTTGAGCCCACCTACATCCAGGTCCCCATCAGAGCCCCCCCTTCTATGTGTCCATCAGAGTCCCCCTTTACATCAGGTTCCCATCACAGCACTCCTTGCATCAGGTGTCCCCATCAGAGTGCCCCCTTACATCACAGTCCCCATCAGAGTCCATCTTAGGAGTCCCCCTTCACATCTGGGTGCCCATATGAGCCCACCTACATCCAGGCCCCCATCAGAGCCCCCCTTACTTCCAGGTCCCCATCACAGTCCCCCTTTACATCAGGTGTCTCCATCAGAGTGCCCCCTTACAAAAGGCGTCTCCATCCCTCAACAGTGTGCCCCCTTATATCAACTGTCTGCATCAGACTAGCTCATAGATTAGTGGATGCACTTCCAAAGACCTGGGGGGGGGGGGTGCACAACTAAAATCTAGGGGGTGGCACAATCCTCCCCAGCACCCCTCTAGATCCAGAGAGGAGAGGCTGTGACACCTTTTCACCTACTGTTTTAACCTCACTTTGCTGAACAAACGCACTGCAACTGAATGTATTGTATGCCATTGTGGGGTGTTTGTGATGCTTCTGCATTCAGGTGAATGGGTTGTGTTCCGTATGCTTGCCACCCATCGATTGCAACATGTCGAATAGTTTTCTGCGTGAATCAAAGTATCACGACCACGGCATATGAACACCCCCATACGCTGCCATTGCAACTTAAAGTGGTTCTAAGGCCTCAAGGTTTTTTACCTTCATGCATTCTATGCATGAAGGTAGAAAACCTTCTGTGTCACATACTCGCCCCTCACCTCCCCTTATACTTACCTGAGCCCCATCAAGATCCAGAGCTGTGTGCTGTAGCTCTCCTGGCTTTGTCCCTCCTCAGTGAGCAGATTGATAGCAGCCATTGAATTCCGCAGGGTCGAGTCCCACTGTCTGTGTCAATGGACGCAGCAGCAGTGTTTGGGAGCGAGCCTGCACGAGTGCCCCCATGGGAATCGGCTTCTTATTGGGGCACCAGCAAGAGGGGAGGAGTCAAGAGCACCAGTGGGGTATCTGAGAAGAGGAGGATTGGGGCAGCTCTGTGCAAAACCATTACACAGAGCAGGTAAGTAGGACATATATGTTATTTAAAAATAAAACAATTCCTTTACAACCACTTTAAAGAGGGGGTGGTTGGGGTGCACTAAAAATGCAGCTGAACCACACTTTTTTAATGCCCCCCCTACTGCACTTCTGAACGCAGCCTAAGGTGGTCAACCCTGCTTTCACTTTATTATCTGGTCCATATACGATTCTATCAAAACGATCAAATCAGAAACCAATCGAATAGCCATTACTTCTTCCAATCAACTTAGACTCATTTTAAATCAAATTTGGTCAAACTTAGTTGACCAGCCATAGCGAAAAAATATTGATCATTCTGCATCAACTGGCAACATCGACATTCACTCATAAATTCAATTGTACTTCAATCAACTGGATTATAAGGTTGCCTGGTGGAAACAGAGATAAGATCGATGACTGACAATTGTGTCTACCAACTATCAATCGAATTCCACTTTGGCATGTGTGGCGTATGGATCAATTGTGATGTTGACTACCAATCAATTATTGCTATTGGGAGAGGTCCATTGGAAAATAAATCGATTTTTTATTTATCAAAATGTGTATGGCCGCCATAGGGGCTCATTTACACTTGCAGCACCCTCTGAAGAGCAATCCACTGTTGATCGCTCTTCAAAGGGTGCTTGAGAGGCAGTGAGGATGTATTATGTTGCCTCCTCACTGGCTGTTTTAACTCCCTAAATACCATGGGGCAGTAGCGTCATGTGCCCCATTCAGGTGAATGCCAATCACGTGCAACATCTAAAGAGGATCAGTTAAGGGGGGGAAGGGGAGGGGGCTCAGGTGCGTATTTTTATTACCTCTGTCCCCAAGCGCAAGTGTAAAGGAGATTGTACAGAAATTGTACAATCAGATTGTATCATGTATGGCCAGCTCTGATGTATGTTATTGGGAATGGGAATCCATATGTGTGCAGTTTGTTACTGATCACCTTTATCCCATCGTATATACAAAAATCTCTGTTCATCACAGAGGTCAATGGAGGTGTTTCTTCATCTGCTGTCAGCAATCACAGAGATGAAGCTAAAGGGAAGACATGATGGGGCCCCCACCTGTGCATCATTCATAGATCAGGGGGCCCGGCTGCTAATTCCTGTAACCAGTGGGGGGGGTGAAGCATGCACATGCTGTACAATGACAGGTCATAAAAAAGGAGAATGAGGCTTCCTATACACACAATGCTGGGAAGGTGTGAATTAGTGTTGCTAGGTGTGTAAAACACCTTTTATATACTCCCCAGGAATCTCAATGTCATAACCTTCTCCCAATGTGACAGGGTGGAGCCTGTAGGAGGGAGGGAAAAAAAAAAAACTTTGGAAACTTACACGACTTTTCTTACCAGCCTGCCCACTTTGTCCCATGAACAGGTCACCATGTCTTCAAAGGACAGGTCACAATCTGATGCTTTAATCATCAGTCACATGTCGCTTTTCCTACCAAACCATGTGACAGAGAGCGATCTGATATTGGGAGCTAGGAGAGGACACACTTGTCTGCATCTGTTCCAGGACGCTTCAGTGAATTCAGTGCATTGCATCTTCCAGTACAAATTTCTATTTCAATCATTTTTATTGAAAGTTTTAAACAAACAAAGATAAAACGAAAACATGTATATCAGCATTTGTCCACGGAAGAATCTGCAGCACAGGGGGAGTATGTTGCCAACAAATAAGTAGAAGCAGCAGTGTTAGTGGGCAGCACAGTGGCTAAATAGTTAGCACCTCCACCTGGCTGTACTAGTGTCGTTGGTT